CAGTTCAGTCTAGGCATAGCTACAGTCCAGTCTAGGCATAACTACAGTCCAGTCTAGGCATAACTACAGTCCAGTCTAGGCATAACTACAGTCCAGTCTGGGCATAGCTACAGTCCAGTCTAGGCATAACTACAGTCCAGTCTAGGCATGACTACAGTCCAGTCTTGTCTTAGCATAGCTACAGTCCAGTCTAGGCATAGCTACAGTCTAGGCATAGTTACAGTCCAGTCTAGGCATAACAACAGTCCAGTCTAGACATAACTACAGTCCAGTCTAGGCATGACTACAGTCCAGTCTAGGCATGACTACAGTCCAGTCTTGTCTTAGCATAGCTACAGTCCAGTCTAGGCATAGCTACAGTCCAGTCTAGGCATAACTACAGTCCAGTCTAGGCATAGCTACAGTCCAGTCTAGGCATAGCTACAGTCCAGTCTAGGCATAGCTACAGTCCAGTCTAGGCATGACTACAGTCCAGCCTAGGCATGACTACAGTCCAGTCTAGGCATGGCTACAGTCCAGTCTAGGCATGACTACAGTCCAGTCTTGGCATAGTTACAGTCCAGTTTAGGCATAGCTACAGTCCAGTCTAGGCATAGCTACAGTCCAGTCTAGGCATAGTTACGGTCCAGTCTAGGCATAGTTACGGTCCAGTCTAGGCATAGCTACAGTCCAGTCTAGGCATAACTACAGTCCAGTCTAGGCATAATTACAGTCCAGTTTAGGCATAATTACAGTCCAGTCTAGGCATAGCTACAGTCCAGTCTAGGCATAACTACAGTCCAGTTTAGGCATAAGTACAGTCCAGTCTAGGCATAACTACAGTCCAGTTTAGGCATAGCTACAGTCCAGTCGAGGCATAGCTACAGTCCAGTATAGGCATGACTACAGTCCAGTCTTGGCATGACTACAACCCAGTCTATGCATAACTACAGTCCAGTCTAGGCATAACTACAGTCCAGTCTATGCATAGCTACAGTCCAGTCTAGGCATGACTACAGTCCAGTCTCGGCATAGCTACAGTCCAGTCTAGGCATAGCTACAGTCCAGTCTAGGCATGACTACAGTCCAGTCTAGGCATGACTACAGTCCAGCCTAGGCATGACTACAGTCCAGTCTAGGCATAGCTACAGTCCAGTCTAGGCATAGCTACAGTCCAGTCTAGGCACGACTACAGTCCAGTCGTGTCTTAGCATAGCTACAGTCCAGTCTAGGCATAGCTACAGTCCAGTCTAGGCATAACTG